ATTTATTTTAAAAACATTTTTGATATTCTGAGTACTACCCAGGCATAAGGCACTTGAGTAGCTATTTTTTTTAAACTTTTCTCCAAGTGAAGTGAACTTTTGTATTTTTCTGAAAATTTTGGAGATCATGAACATATTGGCCTGCTAATAGTGAAAGATAGATTACTGCCCGAGCCTGCGGGTTCGAGACCCGCCTGGGCAACTTGGCGAGACCTCACCTCTACAATAAATCAAAAGTGAGCCGGGTGTGGTAGCGTGCGCCTGTAGTTCCAGCTACTTGGAAGGCTGAGGCGGAAGGATCGCCGGAGCCCAGCAGGTCGAGGCTGTGGTGGCCGGGATCGGCCACTGCACTCCAGTCTGGGCGACAGAGTGAGACTCCAACTCAAAAAAAAAAAAAGATAGATTACTTTTTATGTCTTTAGAAAAACCAGGTTCAAAATTTTTTTCTAAGTGTCTTAATTCTGTGTAAGTATCAGATCAAAATACTTTCTCAAATTTCACTTTCATAAAGATGCATTTATATTTTTTTCTCATTTACTTGTTTTCTCATAGCTTTCCCATAGAGAACTGAAGATTCAGCTAACAGGACAGTGTGAGTAGAGAGTGCAGTGTGGAGGGATTGTGAAAGTTGATTTGGAAAAGTTTTAAAAGTTCAACCAATAGGAGATAACTGTGTATACTCAGGAGAAACAAAAGAAATACCAAGACAATACGCAGTTGGCAGAGCTCATAGCGGGATCATTTTCTACAGTAGTGTGTCACCTAATAGCCACTATGATGAAATTAATGTTGGTAGAGGAAGTTTGAATTTCAGATGGTTTTTAAATTGTTAATAATTTCCACATTGTGATGATCTGAGTGGTAAGGACACTTGATTGATTAGCAGCAAGTTAGCTCTAGGCCTAGGTCCTACTAGCCATGAGACTTGAATAAGTCATTTAACCTTCCTGAAATGTTTCATTATTTCTTTTAATTAGACATTTACAAAGTATATGAACTAAAAGCCTTTAAAGTATTAAGTCAATTAAAACTGATGCCCATAACTTCTCAATCAGTAGGTTACTATACTCTTAGAAGGAAAGTTAAATGAATGGTTAGTTTTGCAATGACGTTGGGAAGAATAAAAAAGATAAGGAACAGTACTAAAATTTTTTTGAGGTGAGTCTATATAAGTTTGCATAGTAGGATGGGGAAAATATCTCAAGTTTGGAGTAAGTTGATGTGTGACAGCCGTTTACTTATGAAAGAAACTAAAGAAAACTAGGTATGTTATTAAGCATAGTTGGTAGTTGGTATAAAAACTGTCAATTCATTTCTGTTCCCCCCATAGAATAATCGATAAAATTAAAATTATGTGACAAATACAACGATAATGAGATTGTAGGAGATTACACCTTCCTGGGGACCTCTTCTACTTTTTACCCTTTAAGGCAGATGGAAAGATTAGATGGTGAGGGCCACAAGGAAAGGAACTGTAGCTTCTGTGCTGTTCACAGCCCTGAGTGAGACCCAGTCAGTACTTGTTAGTTACTGGTTTCCTAAAGGTCTTTTCATTTTACTTTGTCTCTGCTCCAACAATGCATATGTTGCCAACAAACACAATTTTGCAATAAAAGTCCTCTTAGAGTTCTGGATATTGCTTCCTGTTTGATTTTCACATCATTGCTTTAAGGTATCTTCATCTGTCTAGCATGTGACCTCTGTGGGTGGTGAGGTGGAGGAGGTTGCAGGAGTACTGCTCCTTGCCTTTAAAAAATGAGGAGTGAAATGAAAGCATTTTTACTTCTTTACATTGATCTCCAGATTATAACTCACTATTGTCATGGGTTTTTGTGTCATGTGTTTATATTGCGAAGACTATATAATAATAAATTTAGAGGGTATCTCTGTAAAAATGCATTTCAAATTTCTTCTGACATTCTAATTATTAACTAACTTACAGCTTGCTTTTATTGTAACCCTTCTTTTCTTCTTCTTTTTCTTTTCTTTTCTTTTTTTTTAAATGACTTTCTGTTGCCATTCAGAATATCATTTGAGCACCAGGCTCTCTCCAGTGTAGCCGTTGGCAGTCACATCAGAATTCTAGTTTCCTTAGCAGGAGAACAGGACGCACATTCCCAGTGTTGACAGAATATGGGAAGTGGTAAAGATGAGGCATCATAGTTCAGAAGATATATATGTATGTGTTTCCATCTGAAGAAAGAAATTTTGATTTAAATAATGAGAAAAAAGAACCCTCCTATTATTATCACAGATCCCATGATTGAGATCTTGGAACATTAAATGAGATGTTTTTCTTACATAAGAGCAACCATCTGGCCGTTTATTGTGTGGTGAAATAGTGAACTAAAGACAGGAAGAGTCTCCAGGTGACCTTTCAAGTTTCATTCCATCTCAATAATTTTGTGTATTAAAATACTTTCATTTAATAATAGTCAAAATACTAATTTATCTAAATTGGAAGAAAGAATATAAAAGGACATCTAATTTATTTTAAAAGTGTCATTCAAAGTTTTGCTTTTGTGTTACCTTTCCTGACTTTGCTTTGTCAGGGTTTTTCATGAACGTGTAGCATTTTGTTATGCATTACATCATAGACTTACTCTATATTTTCAAGGTACTTGTCCCTTGTGCCAGATAGACTCATTATTCATACAAATCTAGGTTATATTTTTCTAGGAAAATTAATTACTTTATGCTGGCTACATATGGTTAGCTTGTCAGCAGGAAAGCTTTAACATATTTTGGGGTGGTATAATGTAAGCACTTAAGCACTCTTTTTTCCTGTTAGTGCATAAAAGTAGAACATTAACATGTTAAAAATTAATGTGTTTTATAATATTAATGTTTTGTATGAGGTACTGGAGAATTCCTTCTCATGTTTCTAGCAAAGTGCCAAATACTCCACTTCATAGCCTTAAATGAGGCACCTACTGAACACTAGGCATTGTGAGCCCACTACCCACTGTGAATGTAGCCGTCACTGCGGGTACTACATCTGAGTGTTCTTATGTACATCTCGCTGTTCTAAAGGACATATGAGGGTAACAGAGCATTATTCATGTTATCAATGTAATATGGCTGCCTGTCATTTGCACCTGCTGGACACAAGGCATTGTGAGCTCATTACCCACCTGTGGATGTAGCCGTCGCTGCATGTACTACATTTGAGTGCCCTTTACATCTCACCATTCTAAAGGATATATTAGAGTAACAGAGCATTATTCATGTTACCAATGTAATATGGCTGTCTGTCATTTGCAATGTTTAAGGATGAAAAATTCAGGGAAATGAATCCGTTTGGGGGAAATACAATATATTTTAAGGCAAATCAAATGTCTTTATGAGAAATAATTGCTGCTTAACCCTAGTTTGTGTGACAGAGATACAATGTCTAAAAAGAGATGATTTTTGCCCAGTAAGAATATTCTAGTGTTTTTCTTTCTACGATTTTGTATTGCTTAAACTTACTCTATAAAATCCTTAGTAATTTTTAAAATGCAATTGGTAAGCTTATAATCTTTATAATTTCTTATAGGAAAAAAATATTTTCCCTAGACAGAAAATTTGAAGACATTCCTTAAAGTGCTTTGTAGAACAATCAGACTACTTCACTACATTAGTTGAACTCTTAGAATCTTGGTTGTATACACATAGACATTTACCATGTCAAGTGGCCAGGGAGAATGCTGTTGATAAATTAGATATTTATATTATGTGATAATGGAGCTTTTCAGTCACTGTAAGGACTTGATCCACCTGAAAATATTCTCAGAGATGTCTACCAAGAGTTTCTTATTTATAACTCAGTTTTTGTTAGATGTGTAAGCTGAGTTATATTAAATCATTAAAGCAGTGTCTGCATGACCATGTTGGAATTTAATAAGCATTTGGATAAGAGTATTTTAAGTAGTAATCATTACTGTGACACTAGGTTTCTGTTTTCTGAATAATCATGATTTCTATTTCATTTGGCAGCATTTGGTTTCATTTGGTGTGGTTTAAACCTTTCCTTTAGGGTATGTGACTGAGAGAACTAGTCCTTCTTTTAACTCTGTCGTGTTCTGTCATTGTTTTTTCCTGATCCTGCCTTAAACTGCTTTTGAGATGTACAGTAGTTGTGAAACTTCAACATTACCATTACTGTCTCTTTGGTGTGTTTGAAGTCTAAAATTCTTACTGCATTGCTCAAGGAATTCATATCTAGCTTAAATGCAGTATGCCTTTAACCTACAGGTAAGAGATGATTCCTCTCACAAGTGTTGACATAACACAAGGAGTAAACATAAAGGCAAGAACTTGATCTTTTGTTCTTTTTTACTTCTTCAGACCCACATTCCTAACAAAATCCCAGAGTACCACACAGGGATTCCTGGCATGTGATGGATTCGTGGCTCTACGCCACCCGTCCCCTGCAACTTCCATGTTTCCTAACTCTGGTTCTGCTAATTTAGTGTGTGTCAGGAGTCATTCTACTTTCTTGTGTTTCTGAAGAAAGTCAATTTAGTACAAATTGGGACCTATTTTCTCTTCCTCTCTCTAACACATACTGTTAGTCAGCAGGCTTCTGAGGACAGGAATTGCTATTTGAAGAAAACAAACCCTCTTAGACCTTTCTGAATATGTTTTAAACATGACCCAGTATATTACAGTATTGAACAAAAATTATTTAATGATATAAATGCTTTGTAATTTATTTCTGATGTATCCTACCTTTTTAAAATTTAGTTTTTAAAGATGTTTCTTACTTAAGCCTTATCATTTAAAAAAAGCCTTCTTTCCATGGGGCCTCTAAGTTGTTAATTTTGGTTTTGAGGGATGACTCTGAATCCTTTACAGAAATGAGCAGGGCTTTTCTCTCTTCCTGCTATCAGTTTTAGGAGACATATTGCTTCTTTGGTACTGTCATACCAATAAATCATCCCAGATTACTTGCAGTCGTACAGTACTAAAGTGTACCATGCATTTTAAAGGAAATCTGCTGTTTTCTTTTCAATCAGATGAGCAATGTGAAGAGACTACGGCCACGGCTCAGTGCTATTCTCTTTAAGCTTCAGTTTGAAGAGCAGGTGAACAACATCAAACCTGACATCATGGCTGTCAGCACTGCCTGCGAGGAGATAAAGAAGAGCCGGAGCTTTAGCAAGTTGCTGGAGCTCGTGTTGCTGATGGGGAACTACATGAACGCTGGCTCCCGGAATGCACAGACCTTTGGGTTTAGCCTTAGCTCCCTCTGTAAAGTGAGTTTGTTTTTTAAAACACATATTTGCCTGAACACTTACTCTTAAATGTCAGCCCTGATTACATTATTTAAATATTTTTATTTTGATGTGCTCATTATCAAGAACTTGAACTGAACCATGAACTCAAACCCAGAGTGAACTGAGCTAATTTACTCAACCTCTGAACTAAATCCAAATATTAATTTTCTCTGATCTGAAAATCCAGTTAAAGGATTTTGTTTAATAACAAAATCACATCATGAACCTATGCTTTCTCAAACCAATGAAATGGAACTTCAAGATATTATTAACTTAATATTTATTCAGTTTAGATACCTTCATATGATGCTATATATATTGAGTATTGCTTAGGATTGCCATTGAAATTTTTACCTTTGACTATTTAAATATCTCTCTGCATTGTTTTTATAAACTGACTAAAAGGAAAGAAAAATGACGTTTATATAAAGGAAAAATGATTATTTTAGGAATAAACATACCTCAGATGTCACTAATTTTGAAATGTTTCTATTTAAATATAATTTTAGAGGATATGAAAATGGAGAAGGTTTGGGGAGTTTTTTTCCTCCTGGGTCTTCCTCAGGAGGAAATATATTTAATGTTTTATATGACAGAGTTCTTTTTTGAGGAGTGGGCCATAGTAATAGTGCTTTATTGATGTGCTTATAATACATTCTTCTCAGCCACATATCACAAGAATTTGTTATGGTCTTGACCTCTTAACAACCACACTCCCTGATTAGGAATTTGAGCACTACTATTGCCAGTTAAGTAGAGAAGGTGAGAAACAGGTCCAGCTTTAGCAATGGGTTTGTTATCCTTGGGGAATTTCATGAATTTCTTATACAATTTCCCTGACCTGTGCTTCTCATTGGTATCAATGTCTTGTGAGCTTCTCCCTTGTCCCATCTCCATCCTTTTATTTTTATCTCTGTTTTCTTAGGCTTCTATATTTGGTTAAGATCCCTAGTTGACAATGCAGTTCCTAGAACCCATCTTGAATACCTGGCACATCTATTACATTCTTAGTTAGGGTGAAATCCTGAGCTTTGCTTGATGATCTTTTTCATGTATATGATGACTATTTACCTGGTTTACTTGAGACTCATATTTTCCACATGTACCGTTAATTATGATTTAGTGCTTTAATGAAACCATGTACAAAGTGTTATGGCAGCAGAGTTATGACAGAGAGGCTCGCTAAGCAACAAGAGGGCAGTTAATTACTCAGAGAGAAATGGGAATTTGAGCTGGATCTTGAAGGACTGGCAGATATTCTGTGGGAGGAAAAGACATTCTTAGCATGAGTCAGCAGCTAACATTAAAGGGTTATAGCGTGGCACATGTGAGCCACTGAGTGGCCCAATGCCTTTGGAGACTAGCTGGGAAAGGAATGGGATAATAGAACTAAGATTGAGATGGTCAGTTGGTCAAGACCAGGAAGAGCTTTGAATCTCATGCCGGTGGGTGAAGATTTTATGGAGATATGTTAGTTCTGTAAGACAAGTAATGTGATCAGATGTTTTGTAGGAAGGCATTTCTGTCAGCAGTGTGGATGATGGTTAAATGGAACTGTCCAGTACTATTGCTATTAATCATATTTGACTATCTAAATTTAAATTAATTGAAATTTATGTAAAATTTAAAAGTGTAGTTCCGTAGTCTCACACTTGCCACATTTCAAGTCTCATTGCAAATACTGTTGGCCACTAAGACATGGCATATTTCTATCATTGAAGAAAATTCTCTTGGACAGTGCTGGGTTAGATGGTTACAGAGGGGAGATATTTGGTGATTGTCTCACAGGTAGTGCATGACCCAGGAGAGTGACAGAGGAAATTGAACTGAGAAGTTGGATAAGAAAGATGGTATGGGAGGTGCTGGAGAAGAGAAATGAATCAAAGATAACTCCTAGGTGTCTAGCTCATCCAACTAATGGACAATATTGCTACTGTCCATTGCGACATGTTTGAAGTCGTTGCTCAAAAGAGAAAGAGATCAGGGTTTTTTTATTTTTGCTGTTTTCCTCCTCTTGTTTACCTCATATTTTAAAGGGCATACGATTGAAGCTGCCCTATTCAATTATTTAGCAAATATTTGAGTGTCCACTAAGCAACTATTACTGTGCTTTGAGATTATGGAGTTCCAAGCTAAGGTATTGGCAACGAGGTTTGAGGTAGGAACGGAGAGGGGATGGAGGGAAGTGTACAAATTCAAGAGCATCTGGGAAGTTGTCAGGGCATGGTGGCTATGAACTTGGAGGCTGAAAGAGAAATTGGCAAGAAAGACCGCCAGGTTCAGGTTTTTCCTGAAAGGAAGAAACACAACATGAGGAGTAAGATAGGGAAGAAGCTAAGTCCACCCCTGCAAATCTCCTGGGGTTTGTTCCCTAGTGCAAAAGTGTGCTCCTCTGTAGGTTTTGCCTATCAGAAGTGTGACTGACTCACGGGTTGGCTGCACGCTCTTCCTCATGCCCTCCTCTAAGGAGAGCTGTTGGCAGGAGCCTAGGTCTGTTTAATGAGGTGGAGTAGCCTATACAGTGCTTTATATATAGTTAATAATAAATAGCTGTTGAGTAAGTGAAATGCTGTGATAAGACACAATGTACTGTCTCATGTGTATCTTATAGTTGAAAATAAGTAGATATTCTCTCATTGAGATACAATCACTGGTGGATAGTAATTTTAAATTCTTTTATGAATAAAATGCATGCTGTTATTATTTTACTTCAGTTAGTCTACAAACCAGTTAATCTGTCCCCAGATAAAGAGGTGACTGTATTTTTGTGCAATATTACTAGGTATTTTGATCATCTCTTTTGGGAGCCTTCTGTTGTGCAAGAAACAAAATAAATACAACAACTTCATATTTTTTATTAGCCTACATGTCAAGTTGAAAGCATATATTGAACAAGATGATATCTCATCATGTTTGTTATCAGAAGTAGCAGCTTGATCTTTGACAATTGAGATTGAATTTTCATGCTGTGTATAAAGCATTTGATTTGATGATAAGCCCCTACACAAGGAATTCCATATTTATTTGACAATAGAAAGACAGGGAAATTTTTTATTCTGTTAAAACATGCTGGGTAATTATATGACATTTAACTTCTCTATCCAAAATCTTTACTTTTAAATGCCCTTTACAAATGTAGCTCAAGTATTTTAAAAAAGCGTGAAAGTTCATATCTAATTATTTACTCTGCATGGTTTGCAAATAAGTTCATATCTTGAGTTGCATACACATTATAGTTTAACTTTGGGAGCTGTGTTATATCTTTGCATTGTATACATTTGCAATCAGGATGACTGAGTATAATATCTCTGAGTTCATAGAGAAAGGTTTACTTTCTTTTTCTTTTTTTTTGAGTTGGAGTCTCACTCTGTCACCCAGACTGGAGTGCAGTGGTATGCTCTCGGCCACCGCAGCCTCGACCTACTGGGCTCCAGCAACCCTTCCGCCTCAACCTTCCAAGTAGCCGGAACTACAGGTGCATGCTACCACGCCCGGCTAATTTTTGATTTATTGTAGAGACGAGGTCTCACCAAATTGCCCAGGTGGGTCTCAAACCCACGGGCTCAGGCAATCCACTCGCCTTGGCCTCCCAAAGTGCTGGGATTACAGGCTGAGTCACCGAGCCTGGACAAGGTTTACTTTCTTATATCCCAAAGATTTGATGTGCCATGTGATAAATAAATATAAAAGTAATATATCATATATAAGGTAAACACAAAGTAGAATTTATTATTGAGGTGTACATAAACATTAATCCTATATATAGATGTTAGACTTTGATTGTCAAACTGATATGCAAACATTTTTATGAAACTTCATGAGCTAAAAGTAGTGCTTTCTTGGATTAGCTAAAGCTTAACTTCATAAGGAATTTTGCATATTTGTCTTTATAAAGGAGGTGTTGAGCACTGTTCTTCACAAATGAAATAATCCATTTCAAGAGGATCTTTCTTTTAGAACCATCCCTCTCTTCCCTCCTCTCCTTCCCTGTCCCCCAGAATATGTATTCTAGCCTCTTAAGGACCTGACCCATTTATGAGACCCCATGGATAAGGTACAAATATACTTTTCATTCACAGTAATGCCACTCCTAATTTAGGTAAAATGAGTAAACACCTAGTTTCTGATGGCTTGAATTTTTAAAAGGATAAACTTAAAATATACAGAAAAATGAAGGATTGCTTATCATTCAAAATCTGTGGATATCACTGGGCTTTAGATTAAAATTGGTTAATAAGCACTTTTAGACTATTTTCTTTTGGGGGGAACCTGCTATTGATTAAATATAAATCCAGATCCTTAGAAGTGTAATCAGCAGATAGTGGATTCTTTTCTGACCAAAATGCTCCACCGGGAAAAGTTTGCATCTGGTTATTGTTGAAGGTGTTTCCCTAAGACGTCTTGTTGGTAAGGCCATGAATTTTTTTCCCCCCCAAGTACGTCGGCATTCTAGGTAAATAATGAACTGACACAGGCATCAAAGTTCAACACCATATTAAAGTATATGGGGTAATTTTGTCTTGTCAACTTAAGAAGCAGACATTACCAATCCACACACAATGGCTATAACATGTGTTTAATAATGTTTACTAATGTCTAACAAGATGTATGATTTCTGAGTAACAAATAATTCTGATCAGTACCGTTGGATAATATAGCTCTTTGTTCTGGGTGATTAAATAGACTGACTTCCTATATTGGCATCATAGATATAAATGTTGAAGGAGTTTACCAAGTATAACAACTAATTTTTATTGGTATTTATGCTGTTATTCTTTGGGGAAATTGCAGGAACAAATAACTATTGATCCCACTTTAAATTTTCCCAAACTGTCTTTGTGTGAAGCTCTGCATTCTCTATGGCAGTAGCATATGTAATGAGTTCATCTCCAAGTTGAAGTTATTAAAGAACACATAGTAATGGGCCTGAGAAGAGGTGGAGGGGGGTGGTTGAAGTCAGGTATTAACAGAGTGGAGGT